GATCTCTTTCGAGGCTACAACAAGCTCATAAGGCCAGTACAGAACATGACAGAGAAGGTTGACGTACGATTCGGTCTTGCCTTCGTTCAACTCATCAATGTGGTAAGTTTCTCACTTCATACGATTATTTCAATCGAAAAATGACCGTGTGATTTAACATTGTCAACCAAAATGGAATATCACCAGCGTTTCAAAGACATACATTATTGTATTCAGCTAAATATTCTAAATATAAAATTTTGAGCCCCAAATATATATACGAAAAATAACAGTTTGCACCTGGTTTATACATTCAGCGTCGTATTTAGTATATAGTGGTACATAATGTATTTACCCACTGACACGTGGAATTACAATAAAAATATAATTTAATCCTCTTGTCGCGTATCTATGATCCATATTAATATGAATTCTGTGTCATACACATTTTATATATATATATATATCTTAGACGACTGCAATTATAGAATAATTTCGAAATAACTGATAGTCAAAAGGTCAACAAATCCCCCGACATTAACAAAAACACAAATACATTACCGTTTTAAAATACGATAGCCATTAAATCGTGATGGTTTACTGGGTTTTGGCGACAGTACATGCCTACGTTTCGGAGAAGTATATTATACCCACCTCCAGCCCTGAAGATGGAAACGGTATGATTCTCCGAAATGTTGGCATCCGACGAGACTACACGATGCTAAAACCCATACGAACATCATCTTACTCACTGTCTTGAAACCTCAGACCTCACAAAGTTTAATCCAGTTTGTATATTATTTTAGACTATCGCTGTCTGCTGATAGATTCCCCTGGCGGCATTGTTCCTTTTTTCCTTCATTTAAAATTTAGTATGCAATTCTTGTTTCCTCCGTTGTGATATATACCCCGCCTATCGGGACCTTCTTGATTTAGTCCGATTCCAGTGAAAACTGCGAAGCTTCTCAAAATGTAATTTTTATACTTATGTTTTTTATTTTATTCTTTATGGGAAGTTCGTACATGTAAAATACAATTGGGAGGACATGATTATTTGTCTGACTGTATGTTTTAGAATAAAAGAATCTTATCTAATGAATATCTATTTCGTTTGAGAAACTGTCACCATTTCAATTACGACTCTGTATAATTTACTTGCATCAGAGAATAACTTTAATGTCGATTAAGAAAAAAAAAATAACGTCGTGGCCTGTTTTAGGAAACTACATATCAATGTGAGATACGAGGTTCTCACGGAGGTAAAAATGACGATGTTCTTCTGGGTTATGACACCACACAGAAAAGAAGCTGTCTCCATCTTAAGGGCTTGTGGGTATCCACCTACGAGACTTGACGGGGTCGTAACCCAGGACAACACTGTGATCGCTACATTTAAATATATATATATATATATTCCAAGAGAGAGGAATAAAATCAGCCAGAAGACAATTTTTGAAGAAGAAAAAATTATTATAAAATCAAATTGTAATATGTAATTTTAGTTCATGTCATGCTGTCTAGTTTCCAACCGATTACATTCCACCTATAATTCAGGCGTGTTTCCACTTTAGTTCGATCGTTAGGTCAGGTTAGTTTAGGTTGATGTGGAAGACTTACACAAAATTCACCCCATTCAAGCTGAATAAATGTTGTCGGTGGTTTGGAAACGCTGAATGAACAGATTAAATCGTAGCATTTGCAGTTAGACCACATCTACGCTCTTGAAAATACATAAATGCGGACAAGCAGTCGTGGTCCCAGGTTACATTTATTTTGCATGTAAAAGAGTATATTTGCCGCTTTGATGAGTCGGACTATGGGCGTACGCCCATAAAATTCTAAATTTGAAACTCATGACCGTCTCATGCTAAAAGAGAAGAAAAAATTGCTGAACGGTCGATACGCCAAATTACAATCGCCAGGTTCGGTATCGATAACAAAGAGTTCTATAAAAAAACTACGTCACTTTTCTTTAGAATGTTAACAATAAGATAAAGCCAATGCACCCTTGGGGGATTAAAGATGTGTTCGATTACTCATGACGACTTTTTCCTGAGTAGATAAGCTAAATGCAATTCGTTGCAGGTAGTGACAACAGTAGATGAACTTTTATGTTAATCGTGTAAGCCATCATAGCCCGGCTGACACTATAGAAAACGAAAAATAAAAATTCTCCTGTCTAATTTTTGTGGTTTAGTGATACGCCATGCACAGGAACACACCATAACCGATCAGATCAAATGCATCGTTACACTCAGGCCCTGTTAGCCACATTGTTTAGGCTTACTCTAGCCGTTGTTGGAGATAGTTGATACTGATGGCAAGTTCCTTACGTTCTAGAGTGACTTTATGACCTCCTAGACGTCAACAAATTACTCAGATGACAAAGACAGACAAAGGCCAGAACCTTTACAACTCAAATGTTCAAACCTAAGTGTACATGCAGGCGTCCGGTGATGTTGTGCATATTATTTGTTATGCAGCTTGTACTACCTTGATTTTTGTTTCAGTGAAGATGTTTTTATGTTATGAATCTTGGGCCCTCACGCTAGGGTATATAACAAGGATTCAGGGTTCTTGTCCTTGTGTTTCCGTAGCTGGAATGAAATACGTTTGGCAATACGGAATAAGCCGCTTCGAATCTTGAGAATTTTTAATGTTTCTGCAAATATTTCAATGTCATCTTCAGGGATAACGTGGAATGTAATTCTCATTTCTGTTATTGTATTTTGTGTTATTCAGATGGAAAAACAGTACAAACAAAGGAGCAAAACACAAAAATTATATGAATTGTTGAATTTTGAAGTATTTATAGGTGTCAGTAAAAACAAATACTAGTACGTACGGGCATCTCAGTCAGGACCTACTTTGAACTTTCGTCTCTGCCTCGTCTGTCAGTCGACTGATGAAACTTAAAATGACGCGTCTGACTAGTAATTTTTAGATAAGTATGAAATAAGACACAGCGAAGTTCTTACATTATAATCCATTAACTTTTACAAAAACTTTACTTGGAAATTGATGGCGCTGAAGTAATTCAGCTTGAAACTATCTCAACACTTTGATGTTGAACGCTTAAGGCGGCGTAGAGTTCCGCTCCTATTAATGGACTCCATGAAATGAGAATGTTTGTTCTCAGATATGCGTTTCCGACAGCTAAATGTCACAGACAGGAACTGTATAGGCTTATGTTTAGCGTGATTCAGATAACATCTTCAGAAATTCAACAGTTGTCATACACCAATCTCCTCTTCCTTTACTTAATTTTCTTTCAATTGGACTATTTTTTGTTTTATTTGTACGTTTAAATTTTATTTTACCCTAAGCTTATGTATCACTGAATGAAAATGTGTTGGTGACTGTATATAACGCTCCACGCATTCTCAATCTTGATGTTAGATGATGAATAATTTCCGCGTTAAAGCTATGGCGGCTTATTCCCTGCGAAATTTCCACCGTAAGGACTGGACTGGAGCGCTGGATGAGCCCCAGACCTTGTCTGGACATCGTAGCAAATAGAAAAAACCCGTACCCCAGCCTGGAATCGAGCCCTGGATACTTCAGCGAGTGGCCAGGCTATCATAACTCACCAAAGTTAGTAATGGAGAAGATGATATTAAAATGAATATAAAAAACAAAATGGATGTGCGCTGGATTAATATGGATCAAGATAGATACTAGCCATCTGCTTTTGTTAATACGTTGATGGGCATTCGAGATCCAAAAAAGTTATCGAATATATTAACTAGAGGAATAAATATTAACTTCTGAAGACGTAATCTGCTATATTGAATTAAATTTATTATAATTTACATATCTCTGCTGTAATATTATCACATCAAGTAGTAAAATATAACGTTTCGGACGTCACAAAATTATTAAAATTCTGCAAAACGCACTGTGAAGTCGTTAAAATTGGCTGATCGATTTGAAATTGTACATTTTTAATGGAATGGTTTTCTTAATTTCTTTTTATGCCATAGTAATGAATTGCCCGTCAAGAATAATGCAGAAATCTAAAATAGTAAACACACACACACATAGTCATAAATATTGTCCCACAATGTGACTTTTTAGATAGGAACAAGTCACTTATAATTTACCTTCCTTCGTGACGACATATGAATCTTCTGACTGCAGAACGACTATAAATTAATCACTGTCACTTCTCTAACTAATTTGCGAATATATTTACAGTGACTTCAGAAGCAAAATTGATTCTCTTTCGGGAGCAAATATGAAGTGTTAGGTGCCAATTAGGGGGATGATTTTAATTTAAATTTAAATAATTTGGGCTCTGTTCACAGGGATTGATTTAAGCGTGTGTCAACAACAAATAATCATTTTAAATTCAGTATCTAATCATTGTAATGTATAACGTTATTATTTAAACGGTTAAATAATTTTAAATATTAATTAACGACATGGCAGTACAGACAGGAAGGTTTAACACTGTTGATACAAAATTTTGTTATTAGTCACGAAAATGAGCCAGTTTTAACCACATTCCACATTCACAACCCATTTGACTAGGATTCCTTTTAATTTTATCCTTCCATCTCCTGGTCCTCCACTCAAATTAGGTTTCCCCACCATAATCAAGGACACATTTTTTCTTCAGCGTCCTAGCCACATATTCAATCAATGCTGGGTTCCGTAAGCTTCAAACAAGCTACCAAATTCCTCATAATGGATTTGAGGTTCTCAAGGCGAAGAAGATGTCGATGTTGGTCTTAAGGGTTGTAACGTAGTGTCCACTTGTGGGTAGATACAAACGGTTCGGAGGAACATACTGCCTCCATTATCAGGGTTTTTATCCCGATTTCATTATGGATCTTATATTGATTTATTATTGCTGTTTTTAGATGGACTACAATGTAGTGTGTCACAGGATTAAAGTATAGCGTGTTTTTCGTATTTTTATTTGATTTCAGAATGAGAAGAACCAGATCATGAAGTCAAATGTATGGCTTAGATTGGTAAGTAAATTTTTTATGTATTTTGTTTCTGCCGTGCTTGTACGATTACCAGTAATTTAAAATACTGGAATAATAACGCATGGAGTATCGAATAGATCAACATAAATAATTGTAATAATGACTTTTTTAAATTTTTGACGTAGCATTTGTAAGAAGAAAAAACTTCCCAGAATTTCAATAAATCAGTTATACAGTTTTATTTAGTTTTTTGTAATGTTACTTCACCCTTAAATATATGTGATACTGTGTCTGCAAGTATTAGGTGCGATAATATATATTTATTTCACAATGATATTAATTTTTTTAAAATTTTTCTACCAATGAGGGATAGTTACGTGAAGTAATCTAAAACAATGGATTAGTTTGAACACAGGGCTGTTCTTATAAAAGCTGACAATTATTTTTTCATCATTTTACCTTCGATCTAATCGATATTGACACTACACTGTTGAAATTAGGAATTTATCTTTCAGTATTTTGTATTTCATTGTACGATTTATACTTAATAGAGATGTAAGAATTTCAGAGCGCCGTAAGATAAACTAACAGTCACTGATCGAATGTTGAGGCTCATAATACGAGACATTCGCCCAATAATAGCCGTGTGTGATCGTCAGTAAGGTATGGTTTACCGGTGACCTCATTTCATAAAGAGAGAACAATCCGGGTTTCCAGTCTCCAATACCAGTTTTATTTGTCCTTTATTCTTGTTCCTGCAGGATCAGTTCATTTTAAGGATGTGTGTGTCAGCTTATATTCATTGATCTGTGTATATGACGCTGGTATAAAGCCATTATCGTTCGTTCGAGTCACTAAACACAATCCCTTTATAAAATAAATTGAACAAGAAATTCCTGCCTTAACTTATGGCGCTTTCTCTATAAAGGTCATCAATTAATAGGCCTAATAAAACAGATTGTCCATTTCAATTTATAATTTCATAATACGGATTCAGAATTCATTAAATCTCTCATACATAACTTCAAAAATTCGCATTGCGTAGATAAATTGTCTTATATAAAATGTATATGCAGATGGGTTAATTATGTGTCTCTGCACAAAATTTCATTTGACTGAGTTTTATTGTATATTCACATTCATCGCCCTGATGACGGAGGCATTATGACCTCTGAAACGTTAGTGGGCATCTACTAAACTGTACGGTGCAGTAGACAGAAATCTTCAGACCCACCGCTGAGAAAATTTCAAATCCTATATGCGATAGGTTTCTGCTCATATAGACTGTCGCTATAACAGACGACTAATAGTACAGTAGTCTGGGTAAATCTGTGAGTTTCATGTCCGTTACAATAAATGCTTAAATACGGTAATGTCTTCTTCCTGACATGCATTTTTTTCCCCCAAATGTAAGCTCAACTTGTGAACCGTTCTTACTTTGACTCCTGAAGATTTTCTTAAAAATAGTTTAATAATAATAGTATTTTTTATATAATTATAAGTAAATTGTGTGAGAAAGTTAGGAACTGGACGCTTTTGTTGTTCTAGAGAATTTCTAATGAGGCCTTCCCCGTTCGGGATCGTAGTTTGTTACCCCTGTGTGGTTTTGAAATTCTACTGTGACTGTTTATTATATTTAAATTACATTAATTACATTAGAGTTTTAAAACTCAAATGGATGTCGGTTTCAAACAAACTTTGATGCCGATCTAATGTAATTTGAAGTTGCGTTGGATATAAAACATGGATACACAATTTTGTGGCTTTTCACATGATGTTGAAATAAAGACGAGCAATACAATTAAAACTGTAAACTCCCATAAATTAAGATATTAACGTAATTAAAATAAACGTCAATTAGGATATATTGTTTGTTATTTTCTATCAACAGAGCTTCATTATAGATTTCATTACACTTTAGTACTGGAAGTCTACAAGAGAAGTTATTATGACGAAAGACGTTTTGTTAACACTCGACAGTATGTAATATCAATTGTATACCATATTGAACTTTGAAGTTGATATTAATCCGGGACTGAAGAAATAGGGTGGGAGTGTGTGAATTGGACTTAAGTGGCTCAGGGTAAGGACTAATGACGGGCTGTTGTAAACACAGAAACGAACCATAAGTTCCATAAAAGACGGCAAATTTCTACCAGACTACACGTTTATGTAACTCAGAAGACATACATTTTCATTATTATACTGTATCCTACCAGAAATTATATGTTGCATGTTTTGGCTAGTGACTTCATACATGGCTAGGGGAATTAGAACAGAAATTCAAAGGAAAGAATCGGATGGGACCACAGTAGAACGTGGTTAATCAGTTACCCGAGAGGGTAGAAATGGCAAAGCGAATCCTCATGAATTTTCGATCCATATAAAATGGTATCGATGGTAGAAGACGATTTGCTGCTCCTAACTTGACTGATTAGTCTACAGATGGCACATATCGATGAGGTTTTACTCTTATGCGATTTCCGGTCTTACGTAGTTAAACGAGATGGTTGTGATTATAGGGGCATATGGGTAGTCAGAGAATATTAATTTACACTGAACTGTAAGCCACTTTGACATGGCGGCAGGCACTAATCGAATTCGGCAAATTTCGACACAAATGTCGTCTGCAGGAGTAACGAATTAGCTTATCTGATCCAACCATTATTATCTGGTTCCGTAGTTGGCACTAACACGCACATAAATGTACATAATGTATTAGTTAATCCTAAAGGTGCAAAAGGATTGCATATATTGTGTAAATTTATTATGGCATGCCTCCTACGTATGAAGATGTGAAAGCTGTAAATTTTAGTTCAAAATCATGTTACGAAAATATTAGTTACGAACCAAAAATAATGATTTATAATAAATGTATCATATTAATAATGTAACATTTGTTTTTACATTATCATTTATCAATACATTCTGGCATCTGGCGAGAGAAGTTTAAACCCAATGTGTTTGAATTTTCAAATAATATACGAACGCAGGAGTACGTATTATGAACACTGAACCCGTTACGTTTTTTAATAATAACGTGACGGACTACGTCACTAACTGAATTACGTCACCTCTCTAATGGTAGAACAGGATCCACCGATTATGGCCGCTGAACTTGTAGGGAGTGCCCAATATGCGGACCACTCAATGAAGGCAGGAAGGAGTTTCCGTCGGTCAGTACAGTCTGTGTCAGTACAGCAGTGTAGAAGCCTGATAATTATTGTCTTGTGACTGTGATGTGTTAAAAAAATGCCATCTGTTCGTTGCAGTCTCCTTTATGGTCATTGATAACCCCTCATGTTACAACACTCAGACAGGCAGACAAATCATCGAATTAAGTCCAAGAAAAAATATTATGTGATTGATCAGATTTTAGCAGCCAAATAACGTACTGTGAAGAAAAAATCGCTGTACAATCCCATTTAAACCCCATTGAACTTATTTGGGCAGATGAAAAACAACGAGTTGCAATCAAGAACACACCATATAAAATTAAGTACGTCGAGCATCTGTGTCGCCAGAGATTCGAAGAAATTGGACAAGAGGAATGGGATAATGTATTTTCGAATTCGGTAGATGAAATTATGACAGAATTCGAAATATTGGGTTAGGTTAAGTTGGGTTAAGTTAGGTTAGGTTGGGTTAGATTAGGTTTGGTTAGGTTGGGTTAGGTTAGGTAGGATTATATTTATGTTATGGTGCTTTGGATTAAGTTGGATTAGTTTAGATTAGTTTTGTTTAGGTCAGGTCAGATCAGTGTGATGGATTAGATTACGTTTGTGTCTTTAAATTTCTCAAGGTCATATATTTTGACGCTCATTTCTGCCAAACCTTAAATACCTGGTTGACCATACTCATGTCAATATGAGGTCATGACAATTTCAAGTTCATGTGGAAGTCAAGTGGAAATCAGTTCAGTAGTTTTTCCATTACAGCTCTTTAAAATTCTCAAGGTCATCTATCTTCACGCTTATTTCTGCTAAATCGTAAATCCGTGGTTGACCATAATCATGCCAGAATGAGGTCACATAAAGAACAAGGTCATATGGAAGTCACGACATGATCGGCCCACTAGTTTCCCAGATATTGGTCTTTTACATTTTCAAGGTCATATCTTCTTACGCTTATTTCTGCCGAACGGTGAATACCAGGTTGACCATACTCATGTCAAAATGAGGCCATGTATAGGTCAAGGTCATATGGGCTTCACGACCAAATCGGCCCACTAGTTTCCCAGATACGGATCGCAATATGTATTCAGTGCCTACATTGTGTTAGTTAGGTGAGGTTGGGTTAGGTAGGTTAGGAAGGTTAGGTTATGTTAAGTTACGTTAGGTTAGGTTGTGTTAGGTTAAATTGGTTTAGGTTAGGTTAGGTAGGTTAGGTTTGGTTAGGTTAGGTTAGTTTAGGTAGGTTAGGTTGGGTTGGGTTAGGTTATGTTTGGTTAGGTAGGTTAATTGGAGTTAGGTTAGGTTAAGTTAGGTTGAGTTGGGTTAGGTTAGATTAGGTTTGGTTTGGTTTGGTTGGGTTAGGTTAGTTTGGGTTATGTTTGTTTGGGTTTTGTTAGGTTAGGTTAGCTTTGGTTATGGGAGGTTAAGTTTGGTTGGGTTAGGTTAGAGTAGGTTAGGTTTGGTTTGGTTGTATTAGGTTAGGTTAGGTTTGATTGGGTTAGGTTAGGTTAAGTGAAGTGAAGTTTTTTAGAAGATTTTGTTAGGTTACGTAACGTCTTGGAAATTTTTATGACCTTTCGACTCTTATGGCCCCAATTTGTCACGCCTTTGGAGTACGTCACGCCTAGTCACGGTTGTCACGCTTGGTCATGCATAGACACATTTTTCAAATATTTGTCGTATTTTAACACTTACGGTAACCTCTCGTCAAACGGTTATTGCATGTCACACCTATTCACGCTTAGTCACGTTTGGTTACGCTTTGGAAATCTTTTTGGCTTTTCGACAAATATTGTGATCCCTCGTCACGACGTGAACTCATCTCTAGCCTGGTCACGTTTAGTCATGCTTTGTCGCGCCTCGTCAAGT